CTTTCTTTCTTTCTTTCTTTCTTTCTTTCTTTCTTTCTTTCTTTCTTTCTTTCTTTCTTTCACTCTCTGTCTACCTACCTACTTTTTTAAAAAAATTGCCTCTTCAAAAACTTGGTGCATCTTATACTCTGGTGCATCTTATACTCTGAAAAATACATTATGTTTAGTTAAAACAAAAATTCCAGTTATATTCAAGTTCAAGCAGCAAGGCCCATTTGAAACACGAGGCCTGTAATAATATGAGAGTCATTTCCCCTCCTTTGTTCCTATAACCTTATGGATCTTCTAGAAATTTGAGATGTTGAACCAATTAAGTTTGGGTTTGGTTTCTGTTCAGAAATAATACTAAGAAAATTTCTGTTTTTCGGCACTCCAAGGCTGAGAATGTGCATAGTTTCTGTCTTGATGGAATTTTTCATGTTTTTCTCCTCATCCCTATATGTAAAATTAGGCTACTGTCCCAAGATTTTGAATTCTAGTTGCCCTATATAACTGGCAACACACCTGGATATCTTTGAATCTGCCTTCCCTAGATTTCCAGAAATTGTCTGGAAGAGTCTCAATGGCAATGCTTGTAAGGTTTCTCCACTTTGGGAATGCCATCTATAGGGTTCCCTTGTTCAAAGCTTTTTAATTATACCCTTCTTTTTATAGAATAGAATAGAATAGAATGAGTTGGAAGGACCTTGAAGGTCTTCTAGTCCAATCCCCTGCTTAGGCAGGAAATCCTACACCACTTCAGACAAATGGATATCCAACATCTTAAAAACGTCCAGTTCTTGAGGCAAGTTGTTCCATTGATTAATTGTTCTATCTGTCAGGAAATTTTTCCTTATTTCTAAGTTACTTCTCTCCTTGATTAGTTTCCACCCATTGCTTCTTGTCCTACTTTCAGATGCTTTGGAGAATAGTTTGACTCCCTCTTCTTTGTGGCAACCCCTGCTATCATGTCATCCTTCTTTTCATTAAACTAGACAAACCCAGTTCCTGCAACCATTTTTAATATGTATTAGCCTCCAGTCCCCTAATCATCTTTGTTGCTCTTCTCTGCACCTTTTCTAGTCTCCATAGGTTGCTCCAGGTACAGTATCTGGACTATTCTCTCCAATTTGGATTTCTCAAAACCTGTGAAGACACGGTTCTTTAGAGAAAGTATTTATAGACAACAATGATTGATCTATCCTAGTGGATGATGTAACTAATGAAAGCTCTTTGCTATGTTTGTATTATTATTATTTTAAACAGTTATGGCTGGATATAAGTTGCTTAGAGACTCTGGGAATGGAAAGGCACGGAATCCAGAGTAAATAAATGAAGAAATTACTTGGAAATTACTGTTTTTAGGGCTTGCCATTGACCAGCTAGATGAGCAATAGTAAGGACACTTATCTGATAATTTGAAGTTGCCACAAAAAGTAAGAAGTATCTAGTTGGTGAAGATATGGAAGTTACTAAATTTGGCCATTGATTTAATAATGATAATCTGATGCTTTTCAGTTGCATTACATTTGAACTCTTCCCCACACATTTGGCCACTATAGGAACTGAAGTCCACTTTCTGGAAAAAACCAGGTTGGAATAGTCTTTCAGATAAGGGTGAATAAGAATAGAAGATTTTAAAAAAATGGATTTTTAAAATTTAAATTGGATTTTTTAAAAAAAAAATAAATCAGATTTTTCTATTTTTATAAAAAAAATGCTTTTGGAGTAAAAATATATCTAAAGATAGTTTTCTGTTTAAGATACATTAATAATTTAGTTTATTCAGAATGAAATGGAGCTTAGTTATGTAGGATTAGGCTGTAGAATTGGCAATATTGGAACTGTCGGAGGTCAGAGGAGGAGTCGCTGCGGGACAAAGATGACAGTTGCTCTTTAAAAATTATGATTTAAATTGAGTTGATTTACAACTTTAATCATTTAGTGATTGAAATCATGATTTAAATTGAATTGATTTAAATCAAATCTACCCTGTTTCAGATACAAAGATAATTCCACGCACCAACACTTAATTGAACTGCAATATGGAACAGGGTAAATGCAGAGGAGAATTTGATGTAATGACCTCTTGAATGCTGAACCGTCATAACTGGTCTGTGAAATTTTATCTTGAGTCTGTGTAGTTCAGCCTACTTGTAATATTGACAGAATAGGCAAAAGTTGTGGCTACTTGTGTTATATTCTCAGAATTGAGGGACAAAAAGCGTGGCTATGCTTTGACGATATTGAAGTGTGAATTAAGCATAGTCACAAATTCAAGGTCAAGGGTTTACTTTTGCAGTTGATTTAAGTTTTCTTCACTATACTCATTTTGCCAGTCTGCAGCACCACTCATTTGGGCTCCAGGAGCCAGTATTTTGGAAGAGACCATGTGAAAGTAGCAGAAGATGGGTTAATATTCAAGATGGTAAGAGTTACTGTATGATGTGCTGCTACTGATAATGATGTTGATGATGAATAAGTACTTCTTGACCTCGTTTCTTGTAATTGTCAGCATCCGAGGTTTTGAAAGGTTATTCCTCCTTGATTGTAAGCAGAAATTAATTAAAAGTTCCCATTTCATAATAAGCTGATAGTCTTGGTTGTAGTACTGAAGCTTGATTGAGAGGAGCTTCATAATTCATATAATATAAATGTATTGAAGTGTGAATGTAGAATATAAAAGAGAAGCATATTGTTTCAGTGTTTAAGGCACTTAGCTGGAACCTAGAGAGCCTGAGTTCTGGTGCTATCAAGACCAATACGAAGAATGAGTTACCTGGTGACTCTCTTTAAAGTTCTTTATCGTTTTCATACATAGAGAGAAAATTTTGCAAGATTGAGGCGTCTACTACCTGCATCTACCTTGTACTTTTCAAATTATTAGGGAGATGCTATCTTCATCCACTTTTTCTCACATATAACATTCAGATTGAGTTGCCTCTAACTCCTCTGGAATGTAGCCCCTCCCCCCTGGGAATCCACCTCCTTAATACAATCCATCACATGTCCTGCTTTAGGATGAATGACTGAATGCCTGGATGTCATTCAGCTGAATGACTTTAGGTCAGTCATTTTCTATTAGTCCTAAGAAGAAGGTAACAGAAACAATTTCTCAAGAGGCTGACAAAAAAATTGCATGGGTCTATTCAAGTGGTCTCCAGGAACCCAGAGGAGGGAGGGAGGGAGGGAAGGAGATAGAGATAAAAACAGTATTCTTTCCATGCTGTTAATCTTGGTATCCAATGGATACATATGTACACATACATACATTATATGTGTCACATTTCCCAAATATTCTTTACTTATAGCAATTGGTTATTAGGACCACATCTTGTACAGCATAACAAGATGAAGTTAACTATTATGGAATGGTGAGCTGGTAAAAAGTATGGCAGGAACACAGCAAATAAAAGGATAAGGTTGAGGGGTGAGGTCGAGGAGGGTTAGTTTAATAACAGTTTGGCCTTAACAGAGATATGCGAAACTGAAGAAGTTTCTTGAATGAGAAGCAGAATATATTTAAGGGGGTGGGAATCTAAGAAAGGCCAATTGCCTTTTGGAAAAGCACCATTGGGACAGTTGCATCTTTTGAAAGCCACATAATTTCACTTCAGCCAGTTTCTAAAGCTATTCATGAGCCTTGGAAAATACGTAGCTGCTTTAATTGTTGGAAAGTTAGAGACGGGAATAGTGTGTTGTAAAACACCCTCACTTTTTCTTTCTTCCATTTTTCCCTTCATTTGCTTCCTTCTGCCAAATTTTTACTTCTCCCTCCCTTGCTTTATTTTATCAACTCACGTGCTGAGATTCCACAGTCATTCTTTTAAAAATGCATACATACAGGAAAATAAGCCATTGCAGTGAATTGTTGGTGACATTGACAAATAAGTTGTGGGATACATAACATTTCAAATAGTGTATTAGCTCTTCAACTGTTGCACAAGAGAGGAACATCTGTCTTCACCTGTTGTCATTACCAAGTGCTTCTAGATGAAAATTTCCTTTTTCCTTAGTTTCTCCCCCTGTTTTCAAGAATATCTGACCAATTTTGTATTTTAGTCGTGTTTTTTTAGAATGCATTATTTGGAAAAATGATGTCTTATCATTTCTGATGTGCCTAATGCACAAACTTTGCACACGGGGCCTCTGTCTAAATTCTTCTGCTGCTTGGAGAAAAATGCCAAATCACAGAAGAATATAAAGATCATAATGTTTCACTATATTGAAAAGTAAGCATTAATGGTTTCCAATGTTTATATTCTAAAAGAAAATACTATATCTTGGGCTGCAGTATTATTCTCTTCTCAAGGTTTATATTAATGTTGGGGTGAAAGATACCTTGTGTTTTCCCTCGTGTTCTTTCACTGGAAAAAGAGGCATCCATTTTTTAATCTTATTCTTACAGTAGTTTTGAATTTCTTTTGATGGGTTTATTTTGAGCTGACTTCAGTGCTGGAAACAACAGAAATATTGCTGTTGGTATTCCTTTATTTCATGCATCTTTACAATATGCTAAAGTCTTCCCAGATCCCATGCTTACTAGTCTGAAAAAAAGCAGTATTGGACGAAAAGAAGGATTTTTCTTGGGGAAAAATGGAAGGCTACCGTAGTTGTAAACTACTGGAAACATGATTACTCAATGAAAAGTTGGACATTACTTAGCATTTTGTATTCAAAAAATGCAAAAACACCATAGAATTGCATGAGATGTGCTGGAAAAAATGCACAGTGTTTAAAAAACCAGACCGCAATGTGACGATAAGCACCATGAAATTTCATCTCATTTGTTCCTTTATCTCATTGCAAGTTGATGTACTTCTTTCTGCACTTATAAAAACTGTCAGCTTTATGCCAAGTGATTCTCTCTTCATATGCTGTAAGAATGTTGGCCTCCTAATTTTCTTTAAGAAAAGTACAAGAAGTTGTTATGGCTAGCCTTAAATAGGATTGGGGAGTTTGTGTTTCATTGTATTCAATGAACCATTCCAACTATTATGCGTTGCTAATCCAATGTTTGGCATGGACATGTTATATTCATCCAGCCAAAATATAGATTGAAAAGACATACCATTCAGAAGTTTCAATTTTGAGGACACTGAGGTTATTGGGTCTAGTTTTGAGGTTTATTTGATAAGAGTGTACAGATAGTCCTCAATTTACAACCATTCATTTAGTGACCATTCAAAGATATAACAACACTGATAAAAGTGACATTTTTCACCCTTATGACTGTTTCAGCATCCCCAAGTCACATGATCAAAACTCAGATGCTTTGCAAACAACAAGTATTTATGACGATTGGGGTCATGTAATCACTTTTTCTATCTTCTGACATACAAGGACCGTGAAACAGCTACACTCACTTAGCAAATGTGTTTAATAGCTTAACAACTGCAGTTTCACTCAAGTGGCAAGAAAGGTCATAAAATGGAGCAAAACTCATTTAACTGTCTTGTTTAAAAACAGATATTTTGGGCTCAATTCCTGTGGTAAGTGGTGGATTACCTGCATTATATAATAGTTGTCTCTTATCTCTACCTGCATCCATTAAGATAACTGTATATATTAATATATATTAGTAGACTGTGTGTATGAGTTAAGAATGGGGTTTTCAATTATTGTTCCTTAACCAGCCTAAGGGAAGGAGATGGGAGAAATGCTACAATGTTCTTATTTCTGTCTTTTAAAAAACAGATTCCTCTGTTTGGACCCACATGCCTGTTTAATCAGAAATTTTCGAATTTTTAAACTAGCTTTTAACTAAAATTGATTAGTATCACTGGTTGGTGAAAGATTTCTTATTAGTATTAACAGCTATGAATGGTTTTGGCTATCAGGGTGCTTGTCCTTTGAAGCAAATACCTTTTCCAACCTTGTTCTTATTTCATTTTCCCCCACTTCTTTTAGAATACTGAACCAAGCCAGTCACAAATTCCAAAGGAAACGGTAAGAATTTTGTCTTTGACATGTCAAGGAGGGTTGCAATGAGTTTTGAATTAATAATGTCGTTGTACTCTATCAAAGGTAGCTTTGAAATTAGTTTTGTTCACAATGTATACTGCAGGTGGCTCTCTCCAGTCTGAAATTTAATTTCATGTTACATGCTACATTTTTACTATAATTCACATACATTCTGCAAAATTTTAGGAATTAGATTTTAGGCCTTGTTTCAAATGTGCATATCCAAACACATTATTTATATAAATAAGTTAGAGGTAGATAAAAATGATATTTCTACTTCCTGGAGATCATCTGTAGACAAACTTTCTACAAGTATAAAACAAATATTGAAATTGAACTACAACTTCTGTCATCTCCAGTCAGGTCCCAGCACACCTGTTCACAAAATACTCCCAACTATTTATTATGAAGCTGTGGGTGATCTTCATTAACATATCAACTAGTTGTTAATAAATTATATAAGAAATTTAAAGCAGGAAAGTTCATGATATTGGTTTTTCTTTTTTAATAAGAATTACAATGTTCAAAATAGCCATATGGTCTGTAATAAATACCAATTTTTTGAATTTTAAACACAGCTCTGTTCATTTCTTTTCAAAATCTCATGGCACTGCCCATGTTTCCTGGTAACATTACTCCTAGAGGTTTTCAAGTTGACCCAGCTCTTTAAAAATATTGCCGCTTGTGACACATCACTGGCATAATGATAATCTTTTAAAGTAAATCTAAAGCAAAGGGACTAAGCATTTCATTCTACATTTCTACATTCCTACATTTCAGAACGTAGTGGTTCCTTGGTAGGAACTCTTCAGGGAAGATTAAAGGCAGGACTATCGAAATATAATCACATAGACAATTTTCCTATTAAGGTGGTGAGTTTAGTTCTGACAAATAATTGTAATAGCAATAACACTTAGATTTATATACCACTTCATAGTGCTTTACAGCAGTCTCTAAGCAGTTTACAGAGTCAGCATATTTACCCCAACAGTCTGTGCCCTCATTTTACCAACCTCGGAAGGATGGAAAACTGAGTCAACCTTGAGCCAGTAAGAATGGAACTGCTGGCAATGGGCAGAATTAGCCTGGCAATACTCCATTCTAACCACTGAACCACCACTGCTAGTAGGTGAATAATAAAATCATATAGTCTAATTTGTCAGATATATCTGGCCAAACTAAGATTTATGCTTTTTAATCTTTATTGCAAACTTGATTGTTATGCTTTAATGCACCAAGGGTTTCCTTAAAGCCCTGCATCTATTAAGAGCTGGGCTTCCTCTACATCCTGTGATGTGTATTTCAGGGATGTCCTATGCTAGTAATCGTGTTCTCTAAATCTGGTTCTCAAACATTTCATCTCAGGCCATTTTCACTGTACTTTCTTTAAAATGAGGGAGGATCTAAAGAGCTTTAAGTGGATTATATGTATCAATATTTACTTAAAACTGATAAAATGTAAAATATTTATTTATTTGATTTTGTGGACCTTGAAAAGGTCTTGGGAGCCCCATGGACTCCCAGACACATATTAAGAGCCATTGTTCTATATAATATATATATATATATATATTATTATATGATTATATTATTATATGAGAGGTTTGGGATGTATAAATATCTCTTTGAATGTCTATTTTGTATGCCAATAAGTATCTGTTAGAGAAAACATACTGATGACATGTTTTCCCTTCTCTTTAAATCCATTCTGCATATCAAATAGAAGTCAGAATGCTGAACTTGTTTCACAATGTGTCACATGTGGATTCCATTCCCCTCCCTGCTTGGTTCTACATGATTCCCCATTTAGGTTTTCTGTTTCTAGTTGTCAGATCCTTCAGTTTCTTATAGTTTTTTTTAAACCACTGTTGTAGTCTCTCTTGTGCTGTTAATGGTGAGTGTTGCTGTCATGAGGCTGACAGCAGAAGAAAGCAAAGCTGAACTACTAGCAGTAAAAACGCTGGGAAAATCACACAAAAACTTAGTGTTTGCTTTTTCTCCCCCTACACAATCTTTCAAGGTTTTAGCAGTATATGCTGAAAGAGGCAAATTTGGGGTGAAACCGAACCACTTTAAAACTTTACTTTGAACAAAAAATAAAAGGATACCTTTAATATTTATGGAGTAGCATTTTAGCACTTGAATTTTCATAATGAGATCATTGTAGAGCATAGTATAATGAAAGGAATATAGTGTATTGGCAAATTTTGGACAATATCCGTGACATCACTAAAAGGCAACACTTGTTTTAAACTCATTTAAACTCATTTTTAAACTCATTTATGCCAATTGTAAGTAAGCAATAACACTTAGATTTTTGTACCACTTCATAGTGTTTTACAGCACTTGTAAGTGGTATATATTACAGAGCAAGCATATTACTCCCAACAATCTGGTTCCTCATTTTACCAACCTCGGAAAGATGGAAGACTGAGTCAAGTTATGAACTTTTATAAAATTTTACTTTGATTCATTGGATTTAGAAGGCTGAGCATTATAAACTCTACAGTGGCACTTGAGAATAGAAAATAATTATCCAAAGGCTCAAGTCACCAACCTACACCAACCTTATGTCTTACACCAAGATAGCCCCACTCAATTACAAAGGAAAGATACCTTGAAATCAAATTTTATTTTCTTATTCTCTGTTTTTATAGGGAACCTGGTACAGAGATTTTGAGACCCAGGGACTGGGATCAGATCTTGCGATTCAATTAATTAGAGAACATCAATCACATACCAGTTTTGAATATGGTTTAAATTAGAATATAGCTGAGAAGGAATACCTTGCCATAGTTAAGTGGGGCGGAATTTGTTTTCTTGTTCATATCCTGCCTTTATTATTATTACAAATAACTGAAGGCAGTGAACATAACCCAACACAAAACATATGTAGATGTGTCAGCCTTCCCAGTTGACCTGATGGGAAACATGACCAGATGATTTAATTGATGATTTAATTCTACTTTATTGTAAAACTACATTAACATAATTTTACATGTCTTATTCTACAAATCTCCCATTATCTGTTTTACAGCCTGGTTGTTTTTTTTAAAATGAGAAATATTTATATTAGCTTTATGCTGAACAGGGGTTCTCATGCATGCTCCATCTTAGAAAAGGTAGTCAGTTTTGTTGTCAGTTTTCCAACAATCAGGGGAAAAAAATCTACGCAAGGAGAGAATCATATACAAGCCAGGAATTCAGACTGCTCAAATTACCACTGGTTTCTAACTGCACTCACATAAAAGGAAAATGATGCCATGAGTCAAACTTGATATCCGATAATTTTGTAATCATGGTTGTATCTCATTCAGTATTCACCAGATCTTGCATTGTTTAGCTTTTCTAGAGAACTGAGGTCTGAACAGTGATGCCACCTGCTGTGGCTTGCACTCAAGAAGACTATAAGAATGCCTGAGCTAAATGAAAGTGATCTGTTAAACCAGTGGTTCCCAAACTTGGCAACTTTAAGACTTGTGGACTTCAACTCCCAGAATTCTGCTCTGCTGGCTGGAGAATTCTGGGAGTTGAAGTCCACAGGTCTTAAAGTTGCTAAGTTTGGGAACCACTGTGTTAAACTGACAATGAAAGATGTTCCATATGTCCCTTTTAAAATACCAGTGAAGTATAGTAAGGTTTTTTAAAAAAATCATACTTAAAATGCATGGAGTGCTAGTCCAACTGAGAGTGTGTTGCCTATTATAATATTCTAGAGAAAATACAGCCAGTTAGCCCACTTTCTGTGTTGCTATCATTTTGGCTTTGTGGATTTCCCATATGGCAGTTCAGAATCTATGTTCTAAAGAATTCAATCTAAAATGGAACAGATGAACCTTCTGCTTAAAGCATGTTGATTATTTTAATGTGTAAGAGATCAACTGCAGTATAAAAAACCAGTAATTTGTCATTGCATTTCTGTTTCGGGATAATTATCTCAATCTTGTTTCAGTGTGTGTAAATAAATTGTTAATTATGATATGAGAAATATATGCCAATTAACCTTTGTCCTGTTTTTCAAAGTCAACAAATTATTTTGCATTTTGAGTTGTATTTTTCTCTGTTTTTCTCAACCTATGACCTGTTTGTTAGTTTCACCTATAGTGGTTTGAGAATACTTTGCCAACAGATATTAGCTTCAGTGATTGAGTCTTAGTGGACCCCTGGGAATCCAGGAGAATGAAAAGAAAATATATTTTTGATGTTACTTTTCACAATGAGCTGAATTTCCAGATGCGTTGCAAGAGATTGCTGTGTATTTATCATTTAATATCATTAAATGATATTGTTTATCTATTCCATATACAAAAAATTGCATGCAATATTTTACTACTTACTGGTTACTAAGACTTATAATTAGCATATTCAAAGAATGTATACTCTAGGTTTCTCAGGCAATATATACAGGCAAGCTGAGACTCAACCAGAAAAGTGGAGTGGGGGGAGTCAATAAGCCCAAGCATTGAGATTATTTATGAAGGCAATGTCATTGATAACAACTGCTGGAATTCGGTATGTCTATTTTAATGAAAAGAAGCACTAGGGGTGACATGATATTGGTGACCTTACTACTTAGACAAGATAAAGGATAACACTTAACCAGGGTAATATGTTTAATGCAGAGTCAGTTAAGAAATGAAAAATAATGGGCGAGAGATCCATGGTTTTACATCCAAGCAAGAGTTTCTTGAAAAACTGTCTCATAAGCTATGTAAAGCATGGAACCCAACATTAGAATAGGTTGGTTTATATCCTAAAACCTCCCTAGTATGATCTGAGGGACATTTTGGAAGCAATTAAGGTCACCCACATTAATAGGATTGTGTGTAGATCAAATCTACATAAAATTATAATGCAAATATTAAACTTTGCTTGAAGAAAAATTCTAAGCATCATTTGTTCGCTTTGCTGTATAATGAAGTTTGCATCTCTAATTTATCCCACAAAGTAAAATGCGTATTAGCATAAATTGAGTTCTATTATTT